TTTTCAAAAAGAAATTGTTCCTTCTACGATACACCCGCCGGCGCCTTATAGCAAAAGCTTCGTAAAACTGCGAATACAGCATAGATCTCATACTATATATGTTCTTCTAATGCAAACAGCTCAACTTGATGACCACCTCCTATGTTTAGGCAATACGCAGACTTACGGGATTGCGTTCCCATGGTATGCAAGAACATCTGCGTTTGAATTTCATTCAATAAAATTCAAGGAAACAATGACCACATGAAGTTGCTGACCGCTTGCTAACAAATTAAAGGACTGCGCACCATACAACCAACGGATCGTATTTCAGCAGCCATCATCGAACTGCACTTAATGGGGGAAAATAAACACGAACATGCTGGATGGCATGGATTACAGAAGTTTGTTTACCATAATAGAGTGGATTATCCAATCTGCCGTAAGCTCTCAACGTGATACGCTGCAGTTTTGATATATACATACTTTAACAATTTATTGTTTTGTAATACGCTTCATTCAGTCAGCTGTTCATCGTCGTTTCTTAACATCATAGTCATTCTGTGGCATAATGTGTCTGTCGTCTTTCCTACAAAATGAGGCGCTACTGTCAGTCAATGAAATGCATTGGATTGAGCAAAATGAATGGAGGAAATAGAAATAATCGATTAGCAGAATCGCTTTAAAATCATTGCTTAAATTACGTTTCTTTCAGCTATAGGTTTAATTTTAGTTCTGCTTAAAGTACTGTTAAGAGATAAATCTGTGTTCATATATGTGCGTTTGTTGCTGTACCTATTTTGACAAAATGCTAAACGCTGAGTTGTTGATCACGATGCTTGATTCTTCGGTCCAATGTTGTAACACTTTCAAGCAGCTTGCCGGTGACATCTGTTCGCGGCTGGAACGTCACTGAGGTCGCGCATTTAGCGACCACCATGCAGCTCATTTACCACTATTGGCAGTGTGATACCAACACATCTACCGCTTATAATGTCGTGAGTCGCAGTGGATTATTGACATTAATTGCAACACTGTTTCGGTTAAGCTATTCGCAAATCCAAATTTCTTTGGTTAATAATCTGAACAATTTTAAGTTAATAATCTGAGCAGATTGAATTGATTAAGCTTCAAAGGACCAGTAAGTAAGATGCAGTATAATTTATTGAAACTTAATTCCTTAAAAATGTTAACTTTGTGTTTCCCTACATATTTACACTGATGATTTTAATAACAACCGTTAAAATGAAGATTACTTAACGTCAGGTTTCAACTGGCGGAGCTGAGTTTCTGAAGATATTCATCATTTCAGTCTCATGTGAATTTTGTTTTGCAGGTGCTCAATTTTTATGCACAACCTTCGAATGATATGTGCTTTCGTTGTTTGACGTTTTCGATGCGGTAAAAGACACTTTCTTAGTTTCAGTCAAGCCTTGCGCCTATTAGCTGTATCGACAAATTTAAAAACGAAGTCTCATAACGCGCGTGATTACTGATCATTGTAATAACGGACTTATGACCTGACGTTGAAATCGAATCATGAGAGTTTTCAGAGCAATCTGACAATGTTGTGTGCTAACAGAATATGTTGCAAAGCTAAGTAGCGATGATAGATCCAGACAATAGAAAATTTGGACGAGTATTTGTGTCCGGAGTATAGTAATGTTTCAGGTTTAATTTGCCCCACAGAAGACAGCGTCAGAATCACCGCGGAAAATCATCC